GGTGTAAACTGAAGGAACAAAACGTGTCAGCCATGGACTAGTGAGGAATTGTGCTGTTTGCACTGACACTGTACGTTGTTCATGTAGGAATGATCCAGTCTGATTGGTGGCTCCTGATGCAACTTCCAAGTCATTTTCAGTATCATCTTCAGTAGGTATAGGGTCATCCTGGTGACTTACAAAAGAGATTACAAAACTTCTGAGATGTGGTGTGCTGCTGTTATATGGGGAGGCTGAAAAATAAGAATTAAGATTATTAAGCAAATATTTACATACTTTGAGGAAACATGCTTCAAAAAGGAAAGCTAAGATCACAACACAAAATAATAAGGTTAATTTCTGATTCAAAGTGTAGACTGATCACAGATGTTAGTCCAGCCTTTTTTTTTGTTGGGTAAGATGTCCTTCTCTGTCTCCTGTCTCTGGTAGGGACTCCACCTGTGCTTAAGGATGCAATCTCATCTATGTTTTCTTTGGGCTACTTTAACACAAATAAGGCAGTAAATTTGCCACCCTTGATCTGTCTCTGCCAAACACTTCATACAGTTTGTAAGAAATGAGGTGCTGAGATGAATATTAGTATTCAGACACAAAATTCCCTTTAGAACCACTCATAACCAAAATAATAAAAAGTTAAAGTGCAATTAAAACATCCAGTTACTGAAATATTTCTGTGTGCTCTGGAGACATCTTACTCAACCCAATGACTCCTATCAAGACAGGTGGCAGAAATCTGCACACAGTTTTCAGAGCAGAAGTGGATCAGCCTTTTGCTTGTGTTAGACAGGTAGCCACGGAAACGCTTTGCTTCGCCAATTCTACTTATCCTACCCCACAGCACACATCGTTGTGGACAGCATGAGTGCCCTCGGGGCACTTCTGAAACCTGCCACTAGTGTTCTCTCTACAGCAGGGTCTTCTACAGCATGGTTCAGTGACTTGACTGAGAAGTGTCAGGACAGGGTATCTCTGGTTTTTGAATGTAGTTGTAATGAGTTAGGAATTTAGCATTACAAAGTGTTGAAAGTGTGGTATGGGGTTTATTTATGTTTAAAAAAAACAAAACCCCAAACAATCAAAAGAGCTACTTTAGACATTTCAGAAGAGTAGTTTGTATGAAAACTTATTGTGGAAGACTGTAATTTTCAGTTTTGGCTTAATCTAGTTAGATGTAGGATAATTTAAATACATTATGAGAAGACAGAAGTGAGAGAGTTACTACAGCTCAAGTAATTATTCATCTACTTAGCTGTGCAACTGATCTTTGTTGAATCCTAGACAACTAAATTAAAAATGAAGGTGTGTTAAATCAGTGAGCTGAAAGTACATAGGCATGATTCACATGTCTAAAATGCTACTCATTAGAAGCAATTATTTGTTCTACAGTAATTCAAACCATTTTTTTAAATGCAGATTAAAAAAAAAAAAAAAAGTCTGAAGGAGGCAGATGTCAAAGAGAGGAGTGGCTACAGCTTTCAACAGGCAAGCTACCTCCCTTTGTGTGCAGGCAGTTTGGGAAGGGCGCTGCCCAGCTTTAATTTTGGTGAAATTCAGACTTGAATGTGGGGGGAGACGAGAGGAGTAGTAGGGAAATTTGGGGATTTTTTTAAAGCTGCTGTGCTGTATGTATCGTGCTGTATGTATCATTCTGTGTCACAGCAGCATTCTGTGGACAGTAGGGACAAAAGAGGGAAAGTGTTTCAGATAATGGTTTTCATATGCAAAGTGACTAAATTGCAAGCTCTGTAGGCCAGAAAAAAAGACGCTGTATGAGAATTTCAGCCCGAGAGCTTGTTTCGTAGGCTGCAATGGGAACAATTTAGTACTTTTACTGAAACAGCAATGCAGAGAAGTCTGTGAGATTCAGTGTTTGCACAGAAGGGCACTAAACCAATTTATACAAGGGTCTATTATGCTGTCTAAAAGAGAACACTAACAAAAGGAAAAACTATAGATCCTTAATCTTTAACTGTAAAAGTTTATTCCAAGCAGTTGGATGGCTCAAGGAGTCAGCTCCTAGTTCAGCATTTCAGGTGCAGCACAAGTTATATTTAACACCTCCAATTTCAGCCTATGGCTGACATCAAATAGTTAGGTGATTTCCAGTAGTTAATGATCATTGCAGTAGAAATCTGTCACAATTGACACCATCAGTATTCATCACTTTTGGGAGGATTGTGATTATACTTGAATGAAAAAAACCTAATTCATTATGCCCAGAGGCTTGTCTCTATGGTAAAGACAACAGTGAGAGTGAAAAATCTTGGAATGGTAAGTCTAGTATCTCCAGTAAGTACAAGTTTTTTGAATTCAAGACTTTGGGTGCTGTGAATATATATTTCTTCCACTGACATTTCTAAAACAGAAAAATTCTGAAACAGAAGACAATGATGAGCCTAGTGCCCCAAAGTCTACATGTCCTTGGTTTCTCCACTACTGAAGAGCAGTTTGGAGAACCAAGTGAAGAGATGACGTGGTTTCATGTGAGGAAGGCATGTTTTTTGGGAACACCGATATAAATGGAGTTGATGGGAGGGAGGGTAAACCTTGTCTAGAGTGTAGAACTGTATTGTCAAGATGACCTTTGCATGACATGGTAACTGAAGTGTTTCCAGCAAGCAACCTCCCTCATCCTGGTATCCCTGAACTTTGCAGGGCTTCGCCTGCACTGCCTCACCTGAGCTAGCAGTGCTGCAGCCTTTTGAGGACTAGTGAGCAAACCAATCAGAACCACTGACCATTACTGGCTGAGGTTAAGTCACTTAATGTGGAAGCCCTTGGTGGTAACCTGAACCATTTCTCATCAGTGACTCCTAAATTAGAACAGTATGAAAATAAGCTAAAGGAAAATAATTCTGTTTGGGCCAGTTAACTTTTATCAACTACTGACCTTTGTCTTAGCTATTGATTATAGTTACTTTAATGTTGCTAATAATTTTAATTATTTCCTGAATTCTCGGAGCTAACTTATTTACAAATTTCTTAGATTAAAGCATTTAGTGTCTGCATTATTCCATTATCAAATGTTTTTAAAAATATAATCCTATCACAATAATCCAGGACAAAAAATTTTCATCATTAATTTTAGTTTAGTTAAAATTCTCTGGAATAATGCTATAACTTGGTGAAAACTAGGTGTTCTTTGTATAAGCAAAGACTTTCTAAGTTCAGAGTTGACCTCAACCTTAATGCTGTTAACAACACCTCCATGCTGTGTCCTGTGCTCAGTTCATCTCTCCACCTTGAACTTAGATGACATGAGGTACTACTCGAAAGCCAGCTCTATGGAAAAATGCAATAAGATATCAAACTTGCTGTTTCTTTGCCACTTGATAATATAGAGTAGGAATTCAAACTTTCCTGATGAAATTAAATTTAATTTTAATTTAAAAGATTGATAGCCACATATCAGTTCTTTTCTTTTGCAAAGCTGCTTGTATGTTTACATGACATATCATCTGTGTATTATTAGAAAAAACAATAATGCTCTTCATGCTCTATGAAACAGAAAGTAAGTTACTGTCTTGACATTTTGTATTGCTTTTGTGCCAGTGTTTATTTGAAAAAGCTGATGATCAGGGATTTACACACAGAAGGGAAGAGGATGAAGTGATCAAAGATTCAAAAGATCTTAATGAACCTTGACAATAAACATAGAGGTCAGTAATGGGAAACAGTCATACCTATAAGACAGGATAGTACAAGGCAGCCAATACAGTAGCTCTGCAGAAAAGGTTTTAAAGCTACTCTTACATAGCTACAGCTATACCAGAGTCTGTAGCACTTGTAAAATATGAATAGGTATGAAAGAACAGGACTAAGAAACTAAGAACAAAGGAAGATTGGGATAAAGCATTGAGGTTTCATCCTCGTGGTGTGCAGTCAGGACACTGAAAAATATACATACAGTCTTTTCTTTGCATCCAGTGAGGACTTTGAAAGGCAAAAATTATGTAGAATCAGTACGATACTCAAATTGCCTGAAGTTTTCTTTTACTGCCTATGGTCTTTGCACTGATTCTCTAACAAGGATGTAGAGAAATTATGTAGAAAGCTCAGTAAATTTGGGATTGTTTGGTTTTAACAACTTATACTGTGCCGTTTTCCATCAAGTACTACACATTGTTGGTCCCACAATCAGCATATGTGCATTCTGCTTATGACTGCTTTTTTTTTTTTTTTTTTTTTTTTTTTTTTTTTTTCTCCACAAGAGCTATTTTATGACTTCCTTTTATGTCTACTTTCATATGTGAGGGGCTACTGCACATACTGTTCTGTGAAAGAACTAGAGAGCAAAATATATAATGGCTTCAATCAATCTTAAAAAGCACTCTTGAGCTCCAGAAGAAAATTTCAAAGTATTCTGTAGACCCATCCCTCTGGACAGAATGTTACAAACCAGCAATGTTCATGTGCCAAGGGATATCTTTGTGAGGTGGAAAACTAAAGAATAGATTCCTACACAAGTCAATTATGTATATTCAATGTATACTGCTGGACAACAATTAATACCAATTTCTGGGCATTACTGATGATAGCTGCACCCATACCACTGGTGGATGACAAAAAGTCAGTTTCTCTTATCTCCCCTTTGTATAATCCACAGCGATAAGCATCTAGAATCTAAATTACTCAGTGACCCTGATATTAGATACTCACAGGCAGAATATGAAGTTCATGCCAGACACATTTATAAATCAGGTAAGACAGTCTTGTAGGATAGATGACAATTCTTTACTTCTGTAAAAATCAACATGGTATTGTCTTTAAAAAATCTTCTTTAGCCCACATCTCTGTTTATACAGAGCTTGTTATTGAATTACACAAGTGATGTAGTAATAATTTGAACACATTTTTCTAAAATTTTGGTTTTTTGCAATCTGATGTCTGCACCTTTTTGCTTTCCTTTTTCAATCTCTTTCACCACAGGTGCTGGCTTCAAGCAATGGTAACATCTCTCTATCCTGCTATCAGTGTCTCAAGGCAGGAAGGTCCTCAGACTTCAGCCAACCACCTCATCAGCACATGGTCGACTAATCTGCAAGCACCTAATGCTAACCCACTGCCAAGCTATTGTTTTTTCACCTGCCCGCGGGACCAGCACAGGTCAGTAATGTGATAACTGTGGATATTGAAGGACTAAGGGAAAAGCAGGGGAGAATGACTGAGGGAAAAGCAGGGGAGAAGGTGCAAGGGCAGAGCAGAGCTGGTGATACAGCAGTTCACAGGTGATGAGAATTAAGTACATTGAGGTAGAAACAGGGAATGTTATCCAAGGACAATGGGGAAATGATATTGTTACAGTGGGAGCAAGTACAGGAAAAGTGGAAGACATGTTCAGATGGCCGGGCTTTTTTAGTTCTACTGCACATGAAGTAATTTGTTTTGAATTTTTCTTTTCCTAGTGATGTAATACAGTAACTATTTCAATCATTATTTCCTAAGGAAGCAGCAAATAAATAGTGTAATTCAGGATTTAAGACTATAATTGCAAAAGGAAAGAAAACAAGATTGAAAATTTCCATAAACTGGAAGAACAGCATGCAACAGTACAATCTTTTTTCTGGAACTGACATGTATAATTTGTCTTTTACATCCCCATCCCATCCCATCCCATCCCATCCCATCCCATCCCATCCCATCCCCTTTTCTTTTATAAGGACGTTTTCCTTAGACTTCCCATACAAACATGACTGTGATCTCTTCTTTCCCACTTGTCCTTGTGACAAAAAGTTTTTTAACCAGAGTTATTTGCCCTCTCTGATACTTCCCTCCCAGTTTAATTACAAACACTAGTTCTGTCCCCTTTCAGCTTTCATTTTAGCAGTTAAAGTATGCTACCCTCTGAAATCCCCCCTTAGTTGTTCCTTTAAACAGCCTTTCCTGTATGTAGGGCTTGAACTGAGTCTTCCTAGCAGGCATGTCATGGGGCTAAGCTATTTGTCCAGCAGCACTGTGATCACTATGTGACTGACAGAAATGTTAAACTTAATTTCACAGGATGTTGCTAATCTCTGAACACATAATCTTGCGTTCGTACTGTTGTACCTCTACCAGAAACTGGGAGGTTACATGCATGGATGTACCATGCATCTACTCTCAACATCTGCATTGTCAGACAAGCTGTGAGCTAGATGGATCCATGGTTTCTTAGTGGTTACAGCACCGATGTTGCTATCAGTGCTGTTTCTAATTGAATAACCATGAAGGTCATCTACCGTGGGGTAGATATTCTGAACTATTCTGTATTGGCAGATTTTCCAAACTTTGCCCTACCTACAAATTCAGCTGGCACTCTACCTTCTGAAAGTATTAATGAAAGGCGACGCAAGTTTTTTAAGGAAGTCCACCAGCACGTCTTGCCAACTTGGGTCACTTCTTTCCATTGTAACTTGCTATTGCCCGGCCACCTCCTTAGCCACGGGACAGCTGTACACCGCTCTTCACCATCACTAACCGTACCTGTGGCACTGTGTCTGTCCGTGATCTATGTTTTTCAGATCTGTAGCATTTCCTTTATTCAAAAAAGTCGTTCTCACAAAGTATCTGACGCCGCTTTACCCAGGCTAACTTGGTGTTTCAGCCTGTTCTCCTGCCGCTGCTATGAGAACAAGCGCAGAGCAGCGTCTCCCGACGCAGCAGGAAACGCGATCCTAAGCCCCCATTAAAACTTCAAAGCGGGAGGCCGTCGGCCTGGCTGCACGCCGGCCCACGGCGCCGAGGGCTGATGCGCAGTTTGCTTTCCTCTCCCGAGGCGCACGGCT